GCTGACCCACAGCTGGTTTCTTTCTTTGTAAACAAAAGGATTTTTTAAAATTTATTCATTAGCAAGAGTGGGGGGTGGGGAGGGAGACGTGGACTTGCTGTTCCCGTTGCTCGCGCCCTGATGGCGATCGCGCCCACAGTCTCCGCGACCTGGATGGCGCTCTGACCGGCCAGGCTCCACCAGGGCCTCTCCTTGTCCCCCGGGTGCCCTGTTGTTAATGAGCAAAAACTAAGCGAATGCAGAAGTGAGGTCCCCATTGGCTCCGCCCAGGGAGGACCTGCAGAGGAGAGGCCCGCAGACCATGTGACCCCAAGGGGACCCCGGGAGGCGGCGGGTTTCCGGGTCCCCACACCCTCCCTGGAGGCCGTGTATTTGTGATGGATGCACTTGAACTGCAAGAGGCAGGTCCATCTCTGGCTCCAGTTCTGTGGGGGCTGCTGTGTGTCCTCGGATCACAGGGACCCCACCCTCTGCTCTCCCGGCCTAGGATGTCAGGCCACGTGTCCGGGGAATGGGGGTGACACGGCCACTGCCCCCGTCCCCGCTGTCACAGATGCGGGGCTGCACTCACTGGACGGGCCCCAGTGGGGGGAGCTCTTCCTAAGGTCTCACACTTCACACCAGCCACTCTGACCCCCAAAGCCTCCCGCTGCTCTCAATGTGCAGCCGGGCACAGAGCCCAGAGGGGCTGAGTGACTCCCCAGGACACACAGCCTGAGGAGCGGGGGTCCCCGGGGGCAGGTGGACCCCGAGGCCGGGCCCATCACCTGTGGGAGGACTGACCACAGGCTCAGAGAGGCGGGACCGCCTCCCCTCCAGGTTGGCCCTCCAGCTGAGGCAGGCGGCCCGGGCACAGCCATCTGCCATGCCGGGTACCCACGGTGGCAGGTCCCGCGGGAGGAGGGGAGCAGCGGTGCTAGCTCGACCCAGGTCCTCACCCTGACGGGCACCCGTCCTCTCTGCAGAAGTGAAGGTGCTGGGGCTGGAGGCCGACAAGCTCACCATCCTCCGGGGCTGCCCAGGGCTGCCCGGGGCCCAGGGGCTCAAGGGAGAGGCAGGCGCCAACGGCAGGAAAGGTGAGTGCCCGGGTGAGAGGGGATTGGGCCTCGTCCCTGCCCAGGGAGACCCGACGGGGCAGGGTCCCCAGAAGGTCTCAGGTGGGGCCTGGGGCTTGGTCCCATGGGGTGTGGGTCCCCATGGGAGTGAGTGTTGTAAATGTTTCCTCCCACGTCCCACATGGTTCAGGGTTCAGGATCTGGAAGAGGAACCGCACACAAATGAAACAGAAAAGACACGAGATAATTTGGGAATATTGGGGGACCAGGTGGGTAAGTCCAACTCAAGAGGAAGGACTTCCACCCGTGCTCAGTCTGTACCGACCTTTATAGTCAGAGGTAAACAATGCGGTGGTTACCATAGTTACAGTTCTTGTGAGTTTCACCTGTTTTGATCATGTTTACCCTCCCTGCACTTCCCTCAGCCCATTAGCTTCCCAGGTGAGATCTGGGAGTGTCATAAGGTCAAGCCTAATTATGCTAAGAGGACTGTGCCCTCTAAGCTGGGACTTGTCTGTGACTTTGCCAGCAGGTCAGTCCGAGGCTCAACCCTATATCAGTCCCCATAAAGGCAGTTAGAGAAAATAACTTTTAAAAGTAAAAAGGTACCTCCAGTCAGTTTTATAGTTGGATTGCTTATAAATGTACATTTTAAACTCTAAGGCAATTACTAAAAAAGAGTAAAATAAGATATACTAAGAAAGGAGGAAAATTTATATCATATAAAATCCTCAATTAAATTCACAAAAGAGCCGAAACCGGTTTGGCTCAGTGGATAGAGCTTCGGCCTGCGGACTGAAGGGTCCCGGGTTCGGTTCCGGTCAAGGGCACATGCCCGGGTTGTGGGCTCGATCCCCAGTAGGGGGCGTGCAGGAGGCAGCCGGTCGATGATTCTCTCTCATTATGGATGTTTCTCTCTCCCTGTCCCGTACGGGGAGCCCGCGGGCAGAGGAGCCCGGGCTGCGACCGCCCCCACCCCCCCAGGAGCCATGGGGGGTCTGCCAGCCTCACCCCCAGGGG